TTTCAGCTCTTACTCATAAAAAAAGAGTTCTCCCAGGTATTATTTAGAAAATAAACTTTTTGTTTTTCAGAACTGAATATGTAATATATTCAGAAAGTTTTCTAGAGGGGTGACTCCAAAGTGAATCTGTTTAATATTTTGTTTTGGTTTTTGTTTTCTGAATACATTTGGTAAGCTATCAACATGTAAAATATTTGTAGAGCATTGCCAATGATGATTGGTTTCTTGTTTATTTATCATCAGTTGTTGTGTGTGTGTTATGAAGATAGACTACTGTCAAAAACCTCAGTTTTAACAGCAGACTTATGAAAGTGTGTCTGTTTTTCTTTCCTTCCCCTAGTGAAATACATAAGGGGCAATTATATTGCAGGTGATATAGTGATAGCAGGTATACATGTTATTGTAATAGCATATATGAGGGTCCCACACCTGAGACCACTAAACCTATGGAAGTTTGGAAGACATCTCAAGACATGAGTTCTCTGCTCTGTGAAGTGTTTCAGAAATTCATTAAGTTGTCCAATATTACGTGAAAGTGAACATTTATCTGTGTAAGAAAGGGAGACCAGTCTATTTCCTATTTTTGATCTTTAATTCCCTGGGGTATAAATAAAAGTCTAGAGTGTTCTTCTCATAGATGATGTAAAGTTTTTATCAGCCTCTGTCCCAGAATGTCACAAGTAGACAATTCTCTTATGGGGAATACAACCACAGAAGAGGCTCCCACTGGAGAAAGAAACCTCCTAACTTTAAAGCTATCTGAAATTTACTCTCTTCTGTTCTTCCTTTTCCATTTTCTTGTCTCCTTTTATAAATTCTGTCAAAGACCAAAGACCAAGATAGTAACTTCTCATTTACATATTAGGCCAGCTCCAGTAGAACTTCCCTTGAAGTGATTTGGAAATTTTGTCCCTACGGTGAATTGTCACAATAATAATCCTTAGACTCTCTGACTTTGTCACCAGATGGTGTCAAGGGTGTAAGCATTTGTTAACTTTCAGAGAGGAGTGAGGTGTTCCTCTGGCATTGCTTCCCATTACCTAGTTATACAGAGATTTTCATTTCTAATTGAAGGTTTATGCTTCATCTGACAATTTTCATTTTTCTATGTTTATTTAATAAAAGATACAATGAGTAAGAAGGGAATTCTGTCCTGAAATATATTCTGATTCTCTCTCTCCCATTTCTATCTCTGTCTCTATCTTTCCATGTACACATACTCACACATAAATGCAGTCATATATGTACGCATATATCTTTATATCCCTATATAAACCACACACATATATATATACATATATATAGTTTAGATAAGTATATAAAAACGAAGTTGACATCAATAGCAACTAAAACAAAGAAAGGTAAGTCTGCAGTTAACAAAGTGCTATCCAATGGTAAAGTGTCATCTGAATCATCTAGTAGTTATTAGTGAAAATGAAGTAATATTGACTCTTGGTAACTAATAGGTAAAGTGTCTGATACTCATAAAGAAATTGTTTCTAACTTTCTGGGAACTCCAGGTCCAATCTCAAACAATTTAAAGTCAGCTTCTCAGAACAGGTACTGGCAACTCGCATAACAAAATTATTTTGAACATAAATATAAGCAGAGATGAGGAAGGATCTTTCTAAGTTATAAACACAATGAGATATACATTATTTTAATCTTCCTTTTTTTCAGGTACTTATTCTTCTCTCATCTCTGATCATCTTACTGTGATATTAATAGATAGTAAAGAATTTCAATGGGTATAAAGAAGAAATAATACTAGTAATGCTTATGATGGTAATAACTTATTGTGATACTGTGATTTGTAATAAGAAATCTACATATTTTGTTTGTCCATAGTTCTTGGTTCACAGCTCCTAATACCCTTGGAATTTCCTAAATGCTTTTGGATGGCACCTTAGGATGGGGGTCTGTTTACAGTTAGTTCAGCCTGCAGTCTCTCTCCCATCCACAGGTCAGGGGAAAGGGGCTAAAGTTGGAGGATTGGAGCTTTAGAACCTTTTCCCTGACCTCTGGGGATGGGAGAGAGACTAATTAACTGAGGGTAGCCAATAGCTTAATCAGTCGTTCCTAAGTAATAAAGCCTCTGTATACATGCAAAGGACAGGGCTCAGAAAGCTTCCGAAGTGAGCACATGGAGCCTGTGGAGTGGCACACTAGAAGAGTGTAGAAGCTCCACGTCCTTTCCTTACTCCTTCTTCTTTGCATCTCTTCTATCTGCTGTTCCGGAGTTATATTGTTTTATAATAAACCAGTGAGTTAATATGTAAAATGCTTGAGTTCTCGAGCCTCTCTAGGAAATTAATCAAAGGAAGATTTTATTAGAACTTCCAATCTGTAACAGGTAGGTTAGATGCACAGGCAAGGGCCTGAACCCCAAAGTAGAGAACAGTCTTGTAAGATTTCGATACAATTTTGAAGTTGCTTATGATTGGGTATACACTCTGTTCAACCCTTTGCATGCATCAGATCATATAATAACCAAATAAACTTATATGAGTAGCACTGACACACTTTTTACAATAAAAGAGCCTGAGAGATAAAATTAATTTCTTATATTTACTCAGCTAAGAAGTGGTGCAGATGAAATAAAAAGAAGAATATTATGTATTTAATGCTTACTATCTCCTACATGCCTGATATAATTTTAGGGAAATTATTGTTATTGAATTGTTATTAAATAATTATTGTTATTGAATCAAATGTTATTTTCATTTGAATCATCCCCCAAATTCTGAAAATAAGGGAACTTGGAGAAGTTAAAGAGGTTGTTCAAATTCAGTTAGTAGATGGCCCCCTAGGAATTTAATACCAGAATAATCTTATCCTGGACCACATGTTAGTAGGAAGTTTTTGGTATAGTAGGGCATTTCAGGGTAGGAGAGGGTAGCCCCTCCCACAATATTCAATGTTGAGCCGTAAGAAAGGCCCTGCAAGTGTGCTCAGATGAGGGCAAGGTGGCCTGGCCAGTCCCGCCTCCTTTCTCTGGCCAGCAATGCATCCGTTGTCCATGACATTTCTCATATTCTAACTTCGGCTGTGCTCTTTCAAAAGTCATAACCTTCCTCTTTTTAGAGTTTAGGAACAGTTTGCATAACATATTGGAATAATCATGGGTTCATGCCATGGCGCTGTGTGAATACGAGCAAGGAAGTTGCCTTTTCTGAGTTACTTATTTTTAGTAAAAAATAATAAACCTGTAGCTGTATTGTTAGGATCTGAGATAATCGTATGTGTGAGCACTTCTATTTTCCTCTAACTGCCAGATTTGTAACACATAAATCTAGATTAAATGTGATAGATTAGGACAGAATGGGATTGAGATGAGGACCCCCTAGCAGGGTGCGTCAAGGGCTGAGGGCAGAGAGCAATACTCTGATACCGAAAGTTTCGCTGCTCTGTATGTAACTTCTGGTGTCTGGAGAGCCAGGCATTAGGATACATTGCAAGTGAGCAGTGAGCTGCCATGGCATAGCAGAGAAGAACCAAAATGCTTAACTTTACAAGTGGGCAGAACAGATAACGGTGGATCCATTAACAAGATACAAGCCTGTACCTGGCAAAGTCAACAGTCATTATTAGATTGACTGCCTTCAGGAAGCAGGTGTCCCAGATGAGAGGCAAGGCTGAGTGAGTTTCAGAAGCAAAACTCTATACCATAATCCAAATTATTCATGGAAGTCTTGCAGATGAAAGGCAGCCTGACAGTTCTTAGAGCACTGGGATCCCAGGTCATTGACTTGGATGCAGACTGTATTAATCATGTTTGTAACATCTATACATTTGTTGCTTTAGCATCTACCCTACACATATATGAAAACAAGCTTTGTATGAACAACCCAATAATGTTGGAGTCACCCTACCTTAACCTCCTTCTTCCTCATTGCTGCTCCCTCCTCAACCCCCCAAAATATCTTCCTTCTGATGGTCGGCTTTTCAAATATAGACTAAGCAGCACAGAACCCAGGAGCCTGACCAACCCCTTGTAATTGATTCTCACACTTCATTCTACATGCACCCACTCTAATCAGTCCAGGGCCAGGTTACCAGATACCCTGGGGTCATCTATGTGCCCCAGAGCCCAAGGAAATCACTTAAACTAGTCATTCTTAAGACCATTTACCCTGTCTCACCCATTTCTTCCCACAGAAATCACAGTGAAAACTGTTGTCCTCAGTCCCCCTACCTCCCTCCTCTCTGACACCTTGGAACCAGGGCAACGTTTCCCTGTTGTCACCGGGAGAAATAAGCTATCTTTTTAATGGCAGTTGTTTCCTGTTGGTCTTACAATACCTCAAATTTTCTATCAACAGACTGTATTTTTGAACAGGTTTGGATTCTGGAGACGAGATAAAAGGTCGGTTATCCAGAAAAGGTGCAGAAAGTGTCTAGAGATGAGGCGGAAGTCTGAGTTTTGGCACTGCTATCACGAGCGCCATCTCTCCTGCCTATGGCAGATATTAGTCATAACAACTAAACTGTTGGGTTGAGAGAACATTATTTGAAAATGAAAATCTGGAGGGAATTTTGATTCTTAAACTTTGGGTGGTATCAGAATCACCTGTGGAACTGACTAAATAGGCAAATGGTATGTCCTCACTTGGTAGATGCCTGCCTATTCAGTAGATGTTGCCTGTGGCTCAGGGAGCTGTACAGCTTCCGTTATTCCAAGGTCAGTTACGCTCCGTAATTCAAGAGCCGATGCGTCGACCTGAGCCCTGACACCTGCACTCTTGCCCCACCCTTGCCCTCAGTTTCTCATCCATTAGCGAGGGCTGGAAATTAGAATTCCCCTAAGAATCCAGCGCAACAAAAATATTTATTGGAATGAACGCTGACCAAGTGTTGTTATGTCCTTTGTGACTATATTTTCTTTATTGTAGATTCTCTTTCATTGTTTACACATATATTTGTTCCATAGAGATTTTTGAAAAAAAATTTAATGATTTCCCAGTGCCAAATCAAAGGACACAAAAAAGAAACACACTCACAGTGGCCTGTTGTTTCTCCGCCTTCTCAGATGTCTCTTTCAGTTGATTTTGCAGGGCCTCCTGGAGAGACTTCATTTGTTCTCTAGTTCAGTAGGAAATAGAGCACAAGGGAGACATAATATAATTCTGTTATTTCCTGTGTACATTATGAAAGGAGGTTTTGCTGGCTGTGTACATTTGGGAAACAGATAACAAGAACTGGATAGAGACATCTTTAAGCACTCAGGGTGTGATCCAGGATTCTAGCAATGAAGGGTTTTTTCTCTCATGCAAGTATCAAAAGCAAGCTATATTTCAAGGAAATTGCCTTGCTATTGTGTCTTATAAGAATCCCACTGTGTGAATTACCTGTGAGCTGCACAACGTGTTGAATTCAATCAATAGAATAATTAGTGTTGAAAAGCTAATTTTAGTGACAGCGTGCCAAGGTGTGAACATGTTAGTCGGGGAAAATGTTACAATAGACTGCAAATAGGGTAAAATTACTATTTCTTTCTGATGCTCCTAATTGATTAATTCTACAGCATTGTGCTTTAGACATCTATTATAAAGCCTGAGACTTTTTGTAAGAACGTAGAGAAAAAAAGACACTTCTATCTTGAGGCTTACCTCATTTATTGGGGATAATAAAATAAATACTTGTCTGCATATATAAAAACATCATTTCTCAAACTCACAAATATATATTGACCCCCTCACTTGTTAAAGATATAAATATTTCCATAAATATGCATTCTTCTGAAGGGTTTAGACTTTAACAATTTATGACAAATTGTTATCTTTTTTAACTTTATTTTTCAATTACATTTACATTGAATATTATTTTATATTGGTTTCAGGTGTATAGCACAGTGATGGAAGAGGTGAAGGGATTCAGAAGTATAAATCGACCCTGGCTGGTATAGTTCAGTGGATTGAGTGAGGGCCTGCAAACCAAAGAATCGTTGTTCGATTCCCAGTCAGGGCACATGCCTGGTTTGCGGCCGTCCCGAGGGGAATATGAGGCAACCATACATTGATATTTCTCTCCCTTTCTCCTTCCCTTCCCCTCTAAAGATAAATAAAATCTTTAAAAAATTTAAAAACTTGGAAAGTGGTACATTAAAAAAATTACCTTTGGTGGCCAGTGGATGTGCCATCAAAGGGCATGGGGGGCTGCCTGGTTGTGCTCCAGGTCCCCAGTAGGGGGCACATGAGAGGCAACCACTCATTAATGTTTCTCTCCCTCTCTTTCTCCCTCCCTCTCTAAAAATAAATAAATAAAACATTTTAAAAGTATAGATTGGTAGTTAGAAAATAGTCACAGATATTTAAAGTACAACAAAGAGAATATAGTCAATAATATTTTAATACCTATGTACATTGCCAGGTGGGTACTGGGAATATCGGTGAAAATACTTCATAAAGTGTATGATTGCCATATTATCTTTTTGTGCCTTAGTTTTATGACCTAAGCTATTACTTCAAAAAGTTCATGTAAGGGTTGGTATACCAGTTAGTGAGTGCCAGTGTGTTACTTTTGGCTCGAGGAATAAACTCTTTCAAACAAAAACCTTTCTAGTCTCACCAGCAACAAAGTCAATTAAAAGTCCCCAGTGCAGTTCCCAAAGACTACATCTGGAACCTCGGTGGGTAACCACAATCCAGACCCTCGGGGGTGGGAGGGTACCCTCTCCCAGTAACTTTGTAAATCTACAAAATGGGCACAATAATAGAACTACCTCATAAGTTCATAGTGAGATTTAAATGACATAGTACAAGCCAAATGCTTAGTATGAAGCCTAGAAAATAGTCATCACTTACAAAATTTGAGATCATTGTCATAACCACTGGCACTGCTCTGGGTCCCTAAATGGGTGGTCCCATTCTCTGACCACCCCTCCTGCACTACCACAGACCGTACTCACCCAATGTGCTTAAACTGTACAGAATCCTTGTATTCATGAGAGAAAGAGAAACAGAAGAAGTATTTACATATTATCCCTAACACTCAAATCTTCAACAAGCACAGAATTAAAACACAAACCATTATTCTCCCAACCTGATTAAAAATTATAACAAAATGTCATGATTGTCATTTTAATATTAATTATAAATTTTATTTTTATTTTTAAATGCTATATCTATAGTTTCATTAAATTATAAAATATATTTTTATAAAAATGAAAACACGCGTATCTTCAAAAATTCCCACATACTGACATCAATAGGCAATGTATGGAGAAAGACAAAAATAGCTACAAAAGCTATAAGCAGCAACTGGAGAAGTCAGGGAAATCTGCACATTTTCACAGCAAGGAAAGCCATCTACCATGTCAAAGTGGGTCTTTTGAATCTTCTGAATCTCTCTGTCTTCTCCTCTGCCTTCTAGGATTATTCTGCACATTCCCACTGTTCTGAGGTTGTGCGTGGCCCTGTATTTCTGTCTCTCAGAGTTGTTCATTTATACACCTCTGAAAGATGATTCCTGACTTGTTCGTGTAACTGAGCAGTTACAAGGAATTTTAAAGGACAGCCGTTTCCTACATCTGCCATCCCCAATTATAAACAAACACCTCCCCCCGATTACTCCACAAGAAGGCATTTTTAGAGTAGTTACAGCTTGTATTACACAAACATCACAGATGGAGGACTCACTACTACCCCAGGCATTCTTTCCATCTTCAGAGAAGGCTGTACTGGAAAATCCTTGAGCACAGAGTCCACCACTGCCTGCTAGGAATCTCCTCCCACCAACCACTGGAGACAGTAAAAGCTTTTATATGAACTTTTTTCTCAACAGTCTTTCAGAATCTTTAGGGGACTGCCCCCTCGAATCTCTGTTATGTGTTTATACACACTCCCTTTTCCCATAGTATGGCTTAAGATCTCTTTGTCAACCTGGGGACTCTTCTACCAATATTACCTAGGCTGTCTGAACATTTCTTACAAGGTAACACTCCAGAGTCGAGGCAAACTCTCTCCCCCTCCCCACCCTCTTTTCCTCATACACACATATAGAAACATGCACATATAAACACACACTCTCCTTTCTCTATCTCTCTTGTCAGAAAGGTACTCTCTGCTCCCTCCACACGATCATATGTAGCTGCCACACACCCTCTGAGTTTAGTCTAGTTTCAGCTACACAGAGATACTGACTGGTTGCCTCTTGGTTATAATTCCAAAAGAGAAAGTTCTAATAGATTCAGTTTTGTTTTGATGGTCACCTCTGAGCCAATTAACTGTGGCCAGTGATGTCAGTCACATGAAAAAAAAACCATAAACTTTAAGGAGCACTTTCCCGGAAAAGGGCCAGGTGGCAAGGTGACCAGAGGGCCAGGACAGTCGGGAGTTGGGTGTATAGCTAGATGAATCTACAACACATTATACTTTTTCTGACTCTGATAATAGTTCCACATTTGCAATCAATTAATATATTTTATATTCTAAGATCATATTTTTCTTTTACTCTTTATTAATGTTTCTTATTTTGGGATGAGAGACATAGCCAGCTTCACATTTAGATAACTATGATTGCTACTCATTTCTAAGTAAATGACATAAATTAATATGTAAAATGCCATATCCTTTTGAAAAGCTACTTTATTGTAAGAATTTATAAAATTTTCCATTCTGATTTTGTGTACATTATTTATACAAGTTATTCATTTTGAACAAGGTTTTTTTTTGGGGGGGGAAACAATTTTGAAGGTGAAAGGACAAAAATATCTGTTCCATTTAATTCTTTCATTGAAAGACTTGGTCCATCATCTGGTAGTTTCTAAAATGCATAAAATGTGTAGATGTTGATTAAGAAATTCTTAATCAACCTCACCACATTTTTCCTGGTTTGCCTGCATACTTTGTGTGTCATATAGAAACAGCCAAAGATAATTTATGACAATCTTAGCAAACTAAAGGAGTGGGCTCTTTCTTATCACCATCGTGCATCAGCTGCCTCCCCTCTGCCTCCCCCGCACTGAGGAAGAACAGATGTCATTACCCTCTCACTCCATGGCCCGTACTGTCAAAATCCCCTTGTTTTCTCTCAGCCATCCTTTCTCCACCTGACCTATGTGTCTTTCCTCTTACCCTGCACAATGCAGAATAATCCCCCTAAAATGCTTTTTAAATCTGTATCATTCTCTTATGGAGCTACCTAAAATGGGTTCCTCCCAATCTTTAAGTTTTCATTCCTGACTCAGTAACCAGCTTTATTTTCTGCTTTTCTTCGACCAACTCTGTCCCTTAGTCACGGCAGCTCTCTCTGTGGTGTGGCAGGTGCATGGGGCAAAAGTCACTTCCATTTCAATATTTTTGTTTTCATCCTCCCCCACTGTGGAATGCTGAACAAAAAGTAATCATTTTCAGTGACTCATGGTCTATTTTGACTAGTTATTTCTACTTCAAGTGCTGTCTATAATTCTTCAACACTAACTCAAGGAGCCTCAAATAGTTGTACAATATTAAGTAAGCATTGGTACGTTAGTTAAGAGGGTAGTTAAGTTCAAACCAATAAAATAATTTTAAATAATATACTTTTAGAAACATGTTCACACCAATATTTAGAAGCTCTTTTTAATATTGAATTTGAAAAAAATAATGTTCAATCAATAATTATTTTAATAATAAAAATAGTCAATATAGGACAATAGCTTTGAGTTTAACATACTATCAGCTCAATCCAAATGTAGGCGAGAGGCAAGGAGAGTGGAGAAAACCTACAAAGGTGAGAAGGCACTGACTACAAAGTGTCGCATGTGTGAAATTCTCACTGCTTTTTACTTTGTGATCAGTGAACTCTAGTGAAATGGTATGGTACGGCTATTGTGTAAGAACAAGACTGAGCAAATTCCAATTAACACAGCTCTCAGCAATCCAGTTAAGCCCTTCAAGCAGCAATTTCCTATCTGTTAAATAAGTATAATACCTGCTCTAGAAGGTAATTGAAAGAGAGAAATAAGAAAAGGTACATGAAGCATCTAGCAAAGCACCAAGGAAATGTATAATAAATGCTGGCTTGTCTCTACCTTAACCTGCCTTTTTCTTTTAGAGTAATTTCATATCACATAGTTGTAATAATGCATAGAAATCAATCTTATTATATACTTCCTTTAAAAATAAACTAACACTGATTACATTGTGTTAATTCCATTTATATCATTAATAAGATCAACCCATTCTTTACCACCCCCATCATTATCACCACGATATTATTAAAGAGTTTTGGCATTATTAAAAATTGCCCCCCTGAGGTTGGTGTTATTGGATCTGTCTATTGATGGGCAGACTTATTGGGGTCTATCTCGGGTAATGCAGGAAAGTACTACAGATCTTTACACACTAGAATTGTGGCCTGCAAGCAGCATTAGAATCACCATCACCATGAAATTTGTTAGAAATGCAAAATCTCAATCCCCCCTAGTTTCCCTGTATAAGAATCTGCATTTAAACAAGGTTCTCATGCATTCAAATGTAAGAAGTTAAATACATTAACACATTTAGAATGAACTGATTTTTATGAAGTTTCTCAATAGAGTTAAACACTATGGAAAAAAGATCTGAGGAAATGAAAGGAAAGCACAGTATTACCTTTGTTTCTGACCTATTTCCAGAAGCTTCTGAACATCAGTTTTGGCAGATTTCTCTTCATTTTTCAAAGACTAAGAAAAAAAAGGAAGAAAGGAAGTCTTATTCAAGTGATAAATTGAGGTTCACTTTACTTTTGTCTGTATAGTAAAAGGCATGACAGCACTTATGCCAGGGGACAAGAATGTGCAAATGAGGCCATGACATTGGCCTTCCTGCTTCTCAGGATGTACACGGGAATTCAGGACTCTAAGTGGTGCAAGTGGGTGAAAGGAATGAACTGAGTCTGAATTTTCAGAGGTTCAGCAGGGATGTGTAGGTCTTAATAAGTGAATATAAAAAAACATCTTCTGCTCTATATTTGAAGCTTTACTGTGTCCTTTCTGAGCATGTTAAACCAGCTCTGGTACAGTTTTCAGAAATACAAGGGGCCATAAAAGGCCTCCCTAAATGAGTTAAATAGTAATACAATTCAAGATCACAGCAGCCAAAAAGCATTCATCTGTTTGCAATTGCCTATTTATTATTTGTGAGCAATGTGTGAGGATACAAAGAATGAGGGCCATGTAAAATTAACTGGTCTGAGCAGACAGGGTAGAAAGAATAAAAAATACCACCCCAGGCATTAGAGTTTATTTACTCTGGCAAGTTCAGCATTCACAGATCATGAATTAAACCAGAACAGCCCACTGAGCTTTCTTATTAGAGATTCTGCCCCAGTGAGCCTTCCCTAAGAACTTTCTTATTTCTAGTCAGTAAATTATTTAATAGGGTAACCTATTTTTCTTGATATTATAAATTGAAACTGACAGGCAATAATATTGTTTGTGGAAAGAGAAGCCGTGAAAGGTAGAAAATTGACAATATCAAGAATGGCAAACACTTTGTTTACTTAAAATTTATTTAACAAATTATATCTTGAATTATTCAAAGAGGTACAAAGGCAAGGTGTCTGCCTTCACAAATTTTCTAATTGAATGCTAAAAACAGATAATACTCATGGCGTGAGATAAACATTCTGATGGGGATGTGGTAGGCTGAATTTCACGTGAGGAAATTCTTCCCCAAAAGGCCAAATTTTATCTTCAAGCAACCAATAAAAGAAGCTCTGCTTGTTTGGGAAGAGTAGCTTCACATAAAATACCAAGAAAATATGACAGGGAAGTACAGTGTGGGGAAAAGTCAGCAATCCTGAGATTTAAAGTTCAAAGTACATCATGGTCATATGGGTGAGCAGGTCATAAAAAGATGGTTTTTGACTTCCTTATTTGAAAAACAAGGATGAGAGTTTTGAAGAGCCTACTTTAGACAGTTAAGGGAAACTCAAAAGGTATAATAGATGTGTAAAAGTACTTGGTGAAAAGTGCAATAAAAATATGCTTATTCATTTATTGACTATCTGCTATACTTTGGACATTTTGAAGGCAACTAAGATTTAAAAGGCAGGGTACTGTCTTTAAAAAATTTAAGACTCAATAAAAACAAAACGTGAGATGCAGAAATGGAAGTTGATACACAAATGTGTGTCAGCAAAGCCAACCTAATTAGAAGATCTGGAGTGTACTTGACTGTTATTTCCTCAGCAATATCCAAAGAAATAGATTATACTTCTTGGAAAATATCTGTGGCTCATTAAAGGACAATGAAGGTTGATGGACCTACTGTTCAACCAAAATAATGTTTCTCAGTTGACCTAGATTACCACCACATTTTGATGTTATGACTACAGAGATAAACAAGACTTTCAAAGCTTCCGTCTCCATGAAATCCCATTGGGGGGAAATATGTACAGTAGTTTGTAGAGTTACTATGATTTTGAAACCTGGAATCACCATTTATTAGATGTATGACTTTGGGCATTTCTTGTGGCCTACATGAGTCTTGTTTCCTGATTTTACAGAGTATAATACTATCTTAATTTTGTAGAGAGGTTGTTAAGAAAGGTAAATAAGATAAAAAATAAAAACTACCTTATACAATAATTGGCACAAACTAATCAAAAGGTGTCTTAAAAATTGCAACTATATGTTAGGGACAGGATTGTTACCCTTTCAAAAATGTAACTCCATGATATCATACATTTTTATAAACCAATTTTTTAAAAGATTTTATTTATTTATCTTTAGAGGGGAAGGGGGGAAGGAGAGAGGGAGAGAAACATCAATGCATGGTTGCCTTCTGTGGTCCCCTGCTGAGAACTGGCCTGCAGGGAACCGGCCTACAACCCGGGCATGTGCCCTGACCGGGAATCGAACTGTGATCATGTGGTTCGCAGGCCTGAGCTCAATCCACTGAGCTACACCAGCCAGGGCCCTAAACCAATTTTTAAAATTGTAATTAAATGTCTTAACTTAGGCTACTGGTATGTAGAGACTGAGTGTCTTGGGAATATTGTGAACAGTGACCACCCATACGCATTTTACCATGTGCTTGAAATATTCTCAAAGTGCCAGGTGTTGCGTTCTTTGAGGAGGTGCAGGTGTCTTGAGTACTCTTTGTAGCTTCATATAACTAGTGAATTGCTATCTGATGATAAGGTGTAGCTCTGGCATCAGATTCCTATGAAAAGCAATTACTCCCCGTTCATCCTCGTCAGTGCTTCCTTACTGCTCTGTGAATACTTCTGTCACAGCACTGTTTATTATTCCTGCAGTTATCGGATACCTGATTCTCTGTCCTACTGGACAGGGGGTATTTTTTTCCTCTTATTTTTACGTTCTCAAGATATAATAGCTTCTGGAACAGGGGCTTTGGCATTGAGTTCAAATACTTGCTCTGCCACCTAACTATCTCTATGTTCTTGACATCTCATTAATCACCCTCTCAGTTTTTTCACCTACAAAAGGAAACTACTAATAAACAGAAGAGTTGTCAGGTGAAAATTAAAAAAAAACTGTAGAAAGAGTACCTAACATAAGACCTTAACCATGTTCCATAAGCTATAGAAGTTACTGACACTATTATCATCATCATCATCATCATTATCATCAAGGGAGTAAAAAGCTATGGACAATGGTGATTCCATGTGGTTTTGAAGCATGGTCATTGTAATAACTAATAGACAGACTCTGCAGCCGAATTGCTTGGATTTCATCTCTGGCTTCCATTGGGACACTCACAAATAAATGGTCTTCTCAAAACATGATTTCATATGTATAACAAGAAAATTCACATAAACAGTATCTAGCTCATAAATATATTATGAAAATTAAATTCCATAAAATGGCCAAAGCTTTTAGTACACATTATATATTCAATAAATATAATGCTTAAGATAAATTTAAAATATGTAGTTTAGAAAATTTTTCTTATCCTATATAGATCTTGGTTTTTTTATTGAGATTTCACTGAGTACGTTAATACATTTTATAATGTCGCTCTGCTTTCAAGGCATTTACCCACTTTCATAATAAAGTTTATTAAAGAATCTTCAGAGTTAATCTTTATAGAATGTGAAATTCTTTCCTAGGGAACATGCCTATATTTATTCAACTCTTGGTAATTACTTCTCATCATTTCATAGTATAAAAAGCACAGGGGTCAAACTGATCTTAGAAGCAGCAAGCAATTGATGGCTTTGTCAAGCACACAATTTCATCATTCCTATATTTGCAAACCACAGATTCCAAGACTGAATTTCAATGGACATTTCCTTTCAAAGCTGATATAATAATAAATAATCACTTTCGTGGTCAAGCCGAGAAACATACTCAAAACTGGTAAAGACAAATGCAGGTGTCCACGCACTAATCTACTGAAAGAAACCAAGAGACTCTTCATCCTTTACTGCTGAGAAAACTAGTTTTCATCTCACCTGAAGGTTGACTTTAATGCCATCAAGTTCTCTCGATGTCTTTGTCAGCTGACGCAGGATGGTGCTTCGCTCCTTAAAGACTTCTTTCAGTTGCTTTTGTAGCTCTTCATAGTCCTGTCTAACACAGAAAGTAGGGTGTGAGACCCCTCAATGCTTCCACAGTGGTCATCATCACCAGCCCTTGCATTTAAAGCAGAATTTAGAGTGATGGAAACCTTAATTACTAGACTGTTTTGTTCCTATTCTTTCATCAAAAGGGGGAGAATTGAAAAACCAAACAGGTTTACAACAAAGAGTTTCTTTTGCATGGAAGGCTATCCAGGCTATAGAGAATTTCCAGAAGAATATTGTACAATTTCTACATGTATAACATATTTTCTCAGGTTCCTCTCAGGAAAGAAAACATTTCCATGACATCAACATACTTTTTTCAAATATCCTTAAAGTTTTATTTACAGCAAGAGCTATGGTTTGTGCCAATGTATCTCGAAGACAGAGATAGGTTGTGATAATGGGTGTGGGAACAAACTTGGCAGTAGAGCTGGAACAGAGTGTAGGGGCCTTGATTCATCACTGGTTTGTAGGGAAGGAAGCCCATTGAAAAGGCATCCTTTCTGAACATGCCTAAGAGTCACTATTGGTATTAATGAGCTACTGAGGAAAAAAAACAAAATATCTATGATAATCATTCAATAAATATAGTAAAAGTTGAACAAACTTGTTGACAATTACCATTTAAAATATTTATCTCAGTATCATACATATATACATACATAATTTTCCATGTTTCTCATATGATCTTCACAAGAAGACAAGTCAGATATGTATTGCAATTCCCATTAAAAAAAAGAAGTGAGTTCAGAGATTATGTTACTACCCTAAAATTCTATTTAAGGAATGAAGGAGTGAGGAGTAAGGAGACAGATAATTGCCAGTGCAATTTAGAATTGTAACTGATTGTGGAAGGTTAAAATGATTAATTGGAGCACATAGGAGAGTTGGTAATCCAGGGAAAACTTCTGGAGAAAGTAATATAAAATACATGAGGCGGTCCTTGAAAGATAAGCAGAAATTAGCTACATTAAGTGGGAAAGCATGAGTAAATACTAATGAAAATGAGCTTAGTGAATTAAAAATAAAGTGTATAAGTGTCCAATGGTTTGGAGTCCTAATTAGGCAGTGGGGAAGTTTGTCTTTGAAATGAGGATGTGAAAAGCATAAACAAAATTATGCAAGACTCTTAAGCAATGGTTAGGAGTTTGTACATTGTTTTGAAAACAAAGGGAACTAATTGAAAGGTTTTGCAGGGAGTGACATTGTCTGATCTACTTCTGTTTGGCAATATTTCCCTGGTTAAACCTGGGGAGTGAATTGGAGGAGGGGAAAAACCTAGAGAATGGAAGTTACCCGAGCAATAATGCAGGGGAAAAATATGGTTGCCTAAACTATATTAGAAGCAGTGGAAACAGGGAAGCATAGATTGATTTCAGCAAAACATGCAAAATTGAATCAATAATATATAATTAAAAATATTTTGTCTGTATGTGGGGGGAGGGCTGTATTCATTAACGATGCTTGTTTCCGGTTTAAGCAACCCCTGGACACAACCCTTTGATGAGAGAGATCATAGGATCAACAGTTTTTCAAGGAAAGTTGCATTCACAAGTTTGAATTTAAACCTTGGAGGAAAGCAGGCTCAAACTCTCGCAACTTCAGTTTCTTTATCAGTAATAGGCAATACGAACACTGACCTCTTTCAGATCATTATGTGTTAAATGAAGCAACTTATGTAAAGCTTTGAAACCATAGTAGGTAATTAATTTTAAAAATAGAATATAAAATTTCTATTTCTGATAAATCTGGTAAATTTGCAGCCTTATAAAGGACCTGGGTCTATTAATGGCCTAAGGGATGATACTTGTGTCATCTACAATAGGTTTCTATCACAACTCCTCGCTTTTGTTCAAATTTTTAAATGTAGATCTTGAGCACTCTTCATATTCTTCTTATTCAAAGGAAATTGGAATACCCCACTGTTAAGGACTTTATATTTCTCCCTGGCCTGGATATTTTCACTAACGAGCAGTAATCAGCCAGTAATCAGATAGTTATTAATGCCCTAGGTTTCCTTTCATCTCACTAGCACAGTCAAATAACGAATGATCAGGCTCATTTTCATCTAATTCTAACCATACAACTTTACTTCATACCCCAATTTGTGTCTCCTGAATGTGACAATAGACACGTATCCAAAATTACCTTAAGTGACCATAATAAATAATGTTAGATAACATGCATTTACAATGTATTGCATAAAAGATGGTGTTACATATTTCTGTATCTAATCTTTAGAACAACTCCATGAGGTAAGCACTACTATTAACCCCCTTTCACAGCTGAAGATATGGAGTCACAAGGCTAGTAGCTCCCAAGAATGAGTTTCTATTTTGGAAGTGATATATCAGTCAGCCCTCAGAGTCCAATGTCTTAGCCATTATGCTGCAAGAACATTCTTACCAGTTAGGAGTTTATTGCAATTAAACATCTACCGTACCCATCACAGAATTAATTGTGTATTATTTCTTCTTTCACTATATGTATATATATATATGCTGTGAAGAATTTGTCATTTGTCTCCATTTAACACAATTAAGAACAGTATTGCCTTCATTATTATTTATAACCATCTTTTAATTTCATGATCATATTTGGCCTTCAAACGACTTCATGAGGAAAAGTGAACCAATTTAAATCCCTCTATTTTCTGGTAAATGTGCTGAAAATCATGAAGAAGATACAATTTACCAGGAAAATACAGTCAGAAGTGTTGATAGCACCACCCTAGTTTCAGTCATTCAAGGTCCTTATAGAAGGGGACCACTTTGATGACCAGTGAACACTGGTTAACATTTATCAGATTATCTTTCATTTACAGATGAGTGCATGTTTATAATATAATTCATTTTATATTTTCCCATAACATAAAACAAAAAATATGGTCCTTTCCATTTTTGTTGTACAACTGCCTTGTACTTTGGGAGTTCTTTCCACACCATACATATTAAAATCCATTGCGCGCGTACTTTAATGTATTTTACCACAGCACTGAGGATGTTTTCAATTTTTCTTTCTCTCTTAAAAAGCACCAAAGTCCACATATGTGGGCCCATGTGTTTTTTCTGGAAATTTTGTGACTTATTTTCCTAAAAGTGGAAATATTTCACTCCAAATTTGACATGTTAATGTGCATAGGTGCTAGTAAATTGCCTTCTGTAGTCTATAGTCTACTGCCTTCTGCTACTCTAGTCTATACTTCTATTACAAGTATATTTTTATGTTCTTCTCAACACATTCACCTGAGCTGGGAGTTGTCTCCCTTTGTTTAATGTTTGTAAATGGCATGAATAGAAAATGATACCTTCTTCCTCATACAATCTGCAGTCATTGCATTGGAAAGATTGATTATATTTACATAAGTTGATCACTACTTGTATTTCTTCCTTCATGAATTATCTATGCCCTTTCCCCATTTATATATTGGGTTAGCTGCTGTATTACTTTCCTGGGGTTTCTGTAACAGAGTAATCACAGAATGAGTGGCTCAAACAACATAAATATTTTGTCTCATAATTCTAGAGGCTAGAAATCCAAAATCAAGTTGGTGGTAGAGTCGGATCATTAAGAGGCCCGCGGAGGAATGATCAGATCTGAGCCTCTCTCCTTGGCTTGTAGTCGTCTGTCTTCTCCCTACGCCTCTTCACAGTGTCTTCTATGCATGACTGTGCCTAATTTTCCTTTGTTATAGAAGCACCAGTCTTACTGGTTTAGAACCCACTCTAACGACCTTCTTTTAACTTGATGAGTTCTGTAAACACCCATCTCTAAATGATGTTACATCTCAGATACCTGGGGTTAGGATTACAATGTAAGAATTTTGAGGAGGACGCAATTCAACCCATAAGAGTTATTTAATGGATTGATGTATAGAAACTCCTGTCAGGTATGATTTTTAGCTGTCATTATATAGAAAATATTTCCCAAATCGGTTATTAATATTTAAATTTACCAGACCCCAATTTTCTTTCAAATACATGCATAGATAAGTCTTTTCCTTTATGGTATTCGGATTGCTCTTGCACAGGTAGATCATCCCCACTCCAATATTTGTCTTTAAACGGTTCTGTATGTTTGTGAAAATACATTCATTGTTAGTTGCTGCTAAGCTACCAACATAATTTTGGAATATATTCTTTTCTATATTTAGTAAAAGGTAGAAATATGATTTAGATAATGACAATCAGTTGTTCCAGCAACATTGTGACAACTGTTTCCCCACTCGTTTTGGAATGACATGTTTTTGATGTGCCAGATTAATTTGACTGGATGTTTTGAACCTTATATTCTCTGATGAATTTGTTGCAGTGCCAAATCACGGTTTAATTATTAAAACTGCATACTACATTTTGATATTTCCTAGACTTGCCCCCTATTGTTTTTATTTTTAGTTTTATCGATACATTCTCTGTATTTGTTTCTCCTCAGTAAATTTTAGAATCAGCTTGTCAATTTCATGAAAACTCCTACAGGGAATTTAATTGAAACTGATATGTATGTGTATATGTATATATATATATATGTATATACACACATACACACATATGGATGATGATATATACATAACTATATATAGACAACAATAGGACATCTTCTAATTCCAAACATGGAGTGTCTCAGCTATGGTTCAAGTTCTCTCATAGAATTTAGGAAATCTCCACAGTTACTTCACAGAGTTCTTATTCATTTCTTGTTAGATGTATTTTTGTTGTTGTGGATGGATTTTTTTCCATTCTATTGTCTTCATGGATATCACAGGGTTTTTTTTAAAGCTATTTACTAAGTTGATCTTGACTCCAGATATCATATTAAACAAACTTATCAGTTGCTATAGTTACTCAGTTGATTTGTTTTACTTTTTAAAGTAGTGCATTGAAGTTTTTCTTTGAACGTTTGTTTTTTTTTTAATAATACTGTTACAGAAAGCAACTCAACTGCTTCTGGGTGTATGGAGTGGAAGTTTATTTTCATGTACGCGGACCCAGAGGAGTCAGTCTCCAAATT